CTCTCTCTCTCTCTCTCTCTCTCTCTCTCTCTCTCTCTCTCTCTCTCTCTCTCTCTCTCTCTCTCTCTCTCTCTCTCTCTCTCTCTCTCTCTCTCTCTCTCTCTCTCTCTCTCTCTCTCTCTCTCTCTCTCTCTCTCTCTCTCTCTCTCTCTCTCTCTCTCTCTCTCTCTCTCTCTCTCTCTCTCTCTCTCTCTCTCTCTCTCTCTCTCTCTCTCTCTCTCTCTCTCTCTCTCTCTCTCTCTCTCTCTCTCTCTCTCTCTCTCTCTCTCTCTCTCTCTCTCTCTCTCTCTCTCTCTCTCTCTCTCTCTCTCTCTCTCTCTCTCTCTCTCTCTCTCTCTCTCTCTCTCTCTCTCTCTCTCTCTCTCTCTCTCTCTCTCTCTCTCTCTCTCTCTCTCTCTCTCTCTCTCTCTCTCTCTCTCTCTCTCTCTCTCTCTCTCTCTCTCTCTCTCTCTCTCTCTCTCTCTCTCTCTCTCTCTCTCTCTCTCTCTCTCTCTCTCTCTCTCTCTCTCTCTCTCTCTCTCTCTCTCTCTCTCTCTCTCTCTCTCTCTCTCTCTCTCTCTCTCTCTCTCTCTCTCTCTCTATCTTTTAAGTGAAAGTTGGACTAAAGGAACTGTGTGTATTATGTTTGAGAAATGTTCTCGAAGACTCTGTAATGTAAAGAAAGCTGTAGTTTTGGCATGATTTATGACATGCAGCTCGAGTACGATACGATTTAACGGTAACCATCGGCTTATAAGGACAAAACTTATATTTCTGCCTGCTTTTGTTTCGAAAATGTGCACAGAATTTCTGTTCACAATAAAAGTAAGACTCTAAATAATAACAAGGTAAATATAATAAAAAAAAATACTACCAGAGAAGAATCTAGATGGTCTGTTCAAAGGATACGAAAGGTCTAAAGAGCTATTATCTCGGGATTTTTCACGTATAGCTCGGTAGTTTTTGGACATATTTGACTCGAAAAAATATTTTTCAAACACGAATTTTCATAGCCGTTCTTGAAAAATAGATTTTATTGTTATACAGAAAAATATATATTTCAAAGAAATTTTTCCTTATGATTTCATCGTGTCGGTTATTCATAATTTGGCCTTCACTGCGAACAGAAATTCTGTACATTTTCGATGGAAAGCGAATAAAATAAAATGAATAATTGTACTTATGAAAGAAAGTTTATTACATACTGCAATTATTTTGAAAATTATGTAACGCTGGAATGTAAAATTTGCAGAACATTTGTTAGAATAATATAAATGCTTAAACTGTGCTACATATTAAGCGCTGCGATCGTTGCTCGTTAGCGATTTTTGTGATGGATGTATTTCTCTCTTATTGTTAGAGGTATGCGTCTGCCACTTTAATTAGAGGTGGCACATGTGTTGTGTGTCACGCGAAACCTCCGGGGAGGCGATAAACACAGTTGCACCGAACTGCAGGCGTGCGGCGACGGTGAATTGCTCACGTGTATATTTTCACGCGGCGGCGACGCACCTGCCGATATTAGCCGCGCATCGCACAGGTGTTGGTTGCCTTTGCACGTTTGCGACACGTCAAATAAGCGGCATTCCATTCCGCGCATCGTTTACGCGATGTTCGGCTATACTCGTCATTTTCTTTCTCGTTCGAAAAAAGAGAAAAAAATATAATGCATCGAGTATCTTTTATTGTCCCTCGAAAAGCTTTGTCATTTTGCGTACTGTAATACGTTCGCAATTTCACTTTCCACGTTTCAGAGTGCGTACGATGTTCCACGTTATTTAAAAAAAAAAAAAATATATATNNNNTTTTCTAAAGATGACGATAGTGAAGGCAGAAAGAAAAAAAAATATATATATATATATATATATAAATGTCAAAGAGAGAGTTGTTAGAGATTGAGAAATCGTTAATTGATATATGTATACAGGACGTTCCTACTTCATCATTTCAGAGACTATTCGATGAATCTTGAATCAATTTTATAAATTTCGATAAAATATAAAATTTAATTATCGTTCTTTTTCTTGAATAAAAATTCTCAGATACATAATTGTATGAAAAAAAAAATACTCGTAGAGTTTTCCAATCTTTACTTGCTGTTCTTTCCGAGAAACACTTTAAAATTTTGTATAGAAATATTGTCTCACTGTACATTAAATTGATCCACTGGGAATAGTTTGTGTGGTTTTCGCGATATCAGGTTTTTACATAAACTTCGCAAAAGTCGCTTTACAATACGCGAACACGCAGCGATCGGTTCCGTAATAATCTTCTCGAATCGCCGGGTTATAACGGGTGTCTGTCATAATCGACCGGAAATCATTGACTGATCTTTTCATCAGAAGTACGTTAATATGCGTGTCTCACAGGATGTATGTTTTTTCTTTTTTGTTACAGTAAATCTGGCCGATAATGGAAGCCAAAAAGTCGATATGACACACTTTGACGTTCTGGAAAACCTTGGTACTGGAGGTAAGAAGCTTTATTTGACACAAGATATTATTTTTAATATAATAATATTAAACAAAATATATATATATATACATACATACATATATATCAATAATATTAATATTCCCAATGATTAATACTTATGCTATTTATAGTGTGTATTCTCTCTCTCATATATATAATATTTAATATTTATAATATATTATTTATGTTATATATTATAAATATTAAATTTTTTTACATTTTTTTAAATATAACATAAATACGATATTATATTTCCAGTGTTCAAATACATTTTTAATGTAATGTATGTATGTTACATATAAATAAATTTCTTCAAATGCGATGTTTCTTTTATATATGAATAGAAATATTTTTTGATTATTGATCATTAATATATGAACGATACGTAATATTTTTATCAATCATTTTTGGCGCAGCTTATGGCAAAGTCTTCCTGGTGCGAAAGCTGGTGGGTGTAGACGCTGGTAAACTTTACGCCATGAAGGTGCTGAGAAAGGCTCATATCGTACAGAAAAAGAAAACGACAGAGCATACGAAGACCGAGAGGCAGATCCTGGAGGCCATCCGGGACATTCCCTTCTTAGTAACCCTGTACTATGCGTTTCAGACTAATGAAAAGCTCTGTTTAATCTTAGGTAAGCTTCGACGAGAAATTAAAAGCAAAAAAAGTAATAAATAAAGTACTTATAGGAATGGATAAAATATTAGATGTGAAACAAAATGTACTGACATAAAGCGTGTGTTAGAAATTATATTTTAGGAAGGAACTGGACAGATAAGGTACGTCAAAAGTTAATAAATTACTATATTTCGAGATTCATGAATTTGACATTGCATACTTTTAGCCTTTTAAAATATTTAATTAATAATTAATTTGTAAGTTAAAATAAAGATTTGCTCTGTAGAATTAAACTTTCTATTTTCATGAATTTTTGTGTACAGTTAAAATTGTGATATAATAATCACTATAAAAAAAGTTAGTTTGATATAAAATAATATTTATGATTTTGAGATTAAATTATATCTACAAAGCAAATCTTTACTTTAACTCACAAATTAATTATTAATTTTATATTTTGAAAGACTAAAGTGCTTTGCGTAATGTCAAATTCGTGAATCTTGAAATATATTAAATTTATTAACTGTTGCCGTAGCTGATCCGTTCAGTTTCTACTTAACCGCAAATATAACATATCCAAGTTATTCAAGAAATCAGCATATACATAAATCAGAAAAACATAATATACATATATTTTTCTTATTTTATCTGGCACACTTTATCAATATCGTTATGGATAATAACCGACGAGAACGGAGAAGCTTGCTTGCATACCTTGGAGTACGGATACAGAAAAGAATTTGGACAAAATATTTTTTTGCTTTCAGATTATGTTGCTGGCGGCGAAATGTTTTCGCATCTGTATCATCGCGAGCGTTTTTCGGAGGACATGGTACGGTTTTATATCGGCGAAATTATTTTGGCGCTAGAACGTCTCCATGACGTAAGTATTAATAATATATTAATAATAATAATAATAGTATGCATAAACAAAAGATAATAAGATATTTTTATCAAAATTATTCTGTTGATTTTTTTACTCATTATCTGAGTGAATTCGTATTTTTTGCTTCAATCGCTGATTTTTTTTTTTTTTTTTTTTTTTTTTTTTTTTTTTTATTTATTTTT